GAGTGTGAACGTGCATGTGTTTATGTGTGTTTACACGTATGCACGTGAGAGCATGCGTGTATATGTATAGGTTATTTGTAAATATGTCTAGTGTACGTACGGATGTATGTATGCATGTGTACTACGTGACTGTGTGCACATTATGAGAGTTTGTGTGCAGATTTGTGAATACGTACAATGCATATGTGATCAGGTTGCATGAGCATCTGTGCAATTGAGTATGTGTAGGTATGTGTGCATGTATGTGATCAGGCATGAGTGTTGTGTGTACATGCGTGAGTGTACACGTGACCAGGTATATTTGGATTCATATGTGCTAGATATGGGCATCTGTCACAGTCACTGTTCTCCTGTCGTTCATCGATTTACTCGAGCGGGCCCAGTAACGTCTCCATTGGAGACTTTGTTGTTACTGTGTCTGGCATATCGAATACGTCACGGGGAGCTTGCCAGGCTCTGGCGGGCGGGCGAGATCCTCTCGGTAGCTTGCCGGGCTCTCCGAGAGGGGCGGAGGAATCGAACCCAGCTCGGCCGGGCTGACTGCGCGCAAGGCAAACGCCCTACCCTTGTGCTATCACCAGAGAGCCCAGGAGGATCTCTCCCGCGCAGCAAAGCCTGGCAAGCTCCCCGTGACGTATTCGATATGCCAGACACAGTAACAACAAGTCTCAAAATGGAGACGTTACTGGGCCCGCTCGAGCAAATCGATGAACAAGGGGAGGACGTTTGTTGTTTGTTGTTTTGATATGGGCATGCATGTGTGCATGTATGTAATAAGGCATGAGTGCTATATGTACCACGTGTGCGTGTACATGTGACCAGGGATGTCTGAATGCATACACACTAAGTGTGTATGAACATGTATGGGATTAGGTATGAGCATGTATGCATGCGTGAGTGCATGTACATGAGATTAGGTCTGTGTGCGTGTATGTAATTAGGTATGAATGTGCATGTGCACACGTGTGATTAGGTATGTGTGTATGTAGGAGTGCACAGACATGTAACCAGGTATACGTGTGCTTGTATCCGTGATTAGGTACGTGTGTGGGTGTGTTCTGACCATGGCAGCCCTCGGAACAACAACACAAGCAGAATCTGAATGGGGGGTCGGGCGCCCCCTGGAACTAGCTGCCCTCAGCATGGGGACAGCGTGGAGCCGCCTGCCCAGACTCTGGCCCTGGGAGCTGGAGGGGGGTGGGGTGGGAGTCGGGGTGATCTGGGCTGCCGTCGTCGGCCCAGAGCCAGAAGGACCCAGTCACCTCCTTTCCAGGGGTCACCCCACAGGGACAGACCCTGGAAAACACTTCAAAGCAAAAGGCAATTTTCCAGCACTTTCTATTGACACCTTCCCTCCCCAGGGCTTCTTTCCCTCCCCGCAGCTGTGTGTGTGTGTGTGTGTGTGTGTGTGTGTGCGTGTGCATATGTGTGTGTATATGAATGCATATGAATGTGCGCTCTTGGATGTACGTGTGTGTGAATGTGCGTGTGAATGTGCACGTATGCGTCTGTGTGTATGTGTGTGCGTGTGCGTGTGTGTGCACCTGTGTGTACGTGTGTGCATGCGTGTGTGTCCGCGCATGTGTGCGTCTGTGCATGCCCAGTGAAACAGCTCTGGGACTTGCTCTGCCAGAGCCCCCCTTGTCACAGGCACAGCTGCTGGCCCCGTCTGGGCGCCATCCGGTGACACTGGCAGGGCGGAGGGAGCCACCCCCCACCTCCCGCGGACCCCAGCAGCCCCCTGAAACCGGCTCGGAGCCCCAGACAAACAGGCCCACGTGATCCCGGACCTGCGGACCCGCGGCGCAGCCCGCGCTAACGCCACTGGCCACCAGGTGGCGCGAGGGCACCAGGAACCGGGCTGAGCGCGCGCCGCCTGTGGCTTATTTCTCGCCGTCTCTGATCACCAGGATCACAGTCTCAGCAACAAACCAAACACAAACAAACGCCTCCCTCTCCCCTCTCGCTGCGTGCCGGCTTTGTCTGGGAAATTAGGAGAAAACAACAGACTCAGAGACGACGCCATGGGCTGCCGAGGAGGGGACAGGGGTCCTGGGGGTGCGGACCCTGCTGGCGGGTGCACAGGACTCCCTTCACCCCTGGGAGGGAAGGGGCTGCGGTTCTGTGGGGCCACGGACCCTCAGCCTGTCCTTCGCCTCACACATGTGGGTGCCCCCCTCATCTGCAGGACTCCACACCCTGCCTCCACTGGGGCATCCACCCTCCCTGCCCTGGGCAGCCCCCACCATCCTGACCAAGCCCACGTACTCTGCAAGGGCGGCCCCCAGCTCTGCCCTCAACCCCGCTGGGGCCACACCGGGCCTGGATGGCTCCTGCAGGGTCTCAGGTAGGTGCTGATGTGGCCTGGGGCAGTCACAAGCCACGGCCTGGGCCCTGGGTCATTCTTTCCCGGAGGATGAGGGGGTGGCCCAGTGAGGTCAGGTGAAGCGAGTGCCCCCCAGGGTCCCCAAGATCAGTACTGCCCACCCTGAGCTCACTCAGACCCCCCTCAGAGGCAGCCTCGGGGAGCCTGAGGGCGGGGCAGCACCCATGGGTGCATCTTAGGGTGACATGGCTCCTCACTCGAGCCCCCTGCTTTGCACTCTGTAGGGTCCAGACAGGGTGGTGGGATGCCTGGAGGTCACTGGGCTGAGGCTGAGACAGGGTCGCCAGCCCCTGAGGGTGCTCAGAGGGGTCCCTGCTGCATCACACAGAGCCCGGGGGAGGGGGCAGGCAGGAGGAGCCCCCAGGCAAGGCTGGTCAGTGGGTCCCTCTCCCCAGCATGTGTTATGTGTGTTGTACATGTGTGTACATGCCTGGGGGGCTGCCCCCTGCCCAGATCCTGCCTTCTCTGGGGTGCTGTGCGCTGGAACAGCCCGGAATGTGCAGGCTGGGGTACGCTGTGCCCCAAGTTCATGATTTTTGTGTGACCTCGTTTGGGGTCTGAGGCCGAGAACCCTGCACCTCCCTCCCTCCCTCCACCAGCCTCAGCCGGGTGACACACTGCACAACTCTGTCCCTGACATGTGTCAGCAGAGTGGTGTTTGGCACCGGACTACGCCTCCCAGACTCCCTTGCAGTCACCCTGTGCCCAACGCCTCAGGAGAGTGCTGTGCGCAGCTTCTGTGCCTGTTCCTCGGTTCCTCGGAGGGAAGAAATGGCCCTCCACTTTCTCCCTTCCCCTTGGAATGCAGCTGCAATGGCAGGCGCTAGTGCAGCCACCTGGGGCCACAGAGAGAGGGCCTGCTTGGGAGAGGCAGAGCAGGGAGCCGCAGGGAGCCTGCATGCTGACCTCTGACCCTGAACCCTGACCGCTCCATGTGCGGAAGAGAGGACGCCCTTGGTCTCTATCTTCTAACGGGCCCACTGTGGCCGCAGAGGGGACTAGCAGGCCAGGGGGCATCTCTGGCCGCCTCTTGCCGGTTCCTGCCAGAGCACTGGGTGCCTTCTCGTCTCCGTCCCTGCTGGAAACGCAAGGAGGATGCAGGTTCAAGGGGCCTGGAGGGCACCAGGGGGCCACCCCTGTGCCCTGGCTCTGAAGTTGGCCTCGGTGGGAGCTGGGGGCACAAGCACCCGCTCCCGCACCAGGTGAGGCGATGGCTGTGGGTCCCCCCCATTTAGATGAATCCCGGCAGCTCTGCTAGAGGGCCGAAGGACCCGGAAACATCCGGAAACCAGAGCGTGACGTCTCAGTGGGTTTACGTGGGAACGTGTCAGCTCCAGTCCCAGCGGCGGCTGTGTCTGGGGCCGCACATCCCTGCTCCCGCCTCAGCACACGGAGTTGGGATCCTGCATGTGACCCCTGCCTGCTGGCTCCGGGTTCTGGCCAGAGTCCAGCAGTTCCGTGAGCCTGGGGTGGGTTTGTGGGGTGCTGGGTGCTTACATGACTCTCGCTGTAGCTGACAGGCCCACCTAAGCCTCACAGCCTCCTGCACCCGGGGCTTAATCCCTCACGGCCCTTGTAAGGGAGGACAGAAACATCCTGGGTGCCACCCAGGGGTCAGGGCTGGGTGCTGTGGGGACATAGAGCGGATGGGTGAAAGAGGGGGCTCGGAGAAGAGCTGCACAGGTGTGCGAGACCCCCTGGGCTGGGGCGCTCTCTGCCTGGGGGTCGCCTTAGCCCCCGTGAGTCCCAGCAGTCCTGTGAGGAGATGCGGGGTCTCTCTCCTGCTACCGAGGACTGAAATGAGGGTCCGGGTACACAGAGCCGGGCCTGACTCTCACCGGGTCGGCAAGAGGCGCTTCAGCGGGACCTGAGGTTAAGGACTTCTGCTCAGTAATGTGGGGGAAGGGGCTGTGGCAGTGAGGGAGGCGTGGCCACGCGGAGGGGCGTGGCCACACGGGGCGTGGTCTTGTGGAAGGGTGTGGCCGCATGGTGGGGGCGTGGCCACACAGAGGAGATGTGGGGATCCCGGGATTCAGGCAGAGCTGAGCTCAGTCTGATGTGTCCAGGGGGTGCTGGGGGTGTTGGCGCGCTCGGGGGAGAGGCCTGGCTGGAGTGGGGAGATGGGGGTCTGCCTGGACAGAGGCTGGGAAGAATTGGAGAGGCCACAGGCATGGGCACTCAGTCCTCTGGGTTCCACGTGGCCCTGCCCCTGCCTGGTTCTCAGCTGGGCAGTAGCAGGCCAGTGCTCCCCCCACACCGTCTCCCGTCCCCCATGGCCAGGTGTGAGCTGGGGGATCAGGTTCAGGCCGGGCTCCCGGGGAGGGAGGCACCTCCCACCCAGACCCCCACTTCCAGCTGTGACTGGCTGGTGGAAGGGACACCCCAAGGAGTGCATGGAGGGTCTCGGCCACTGCAGGGCTGCCCCTGGCCCTCTGCCTCCCAGAACGCTTTGCACCTGACGGATGGTTCTGGAAGCACAGCTGGCAGTTACAGCATCTGGCTCAGGCACCGCTCACGGCCAGGACTGCCTGCCCCCACCATCTGGCTCTCGGGCTCATTGCCCCCCCAAAGCTGTCTCCCCACGGGGCAGCCCCTACTGCCCGCAGCCACTTACACATGGGCTTCAGCTGCCCGATGAGCTCCTCCTTGGTCCATTTCGCCCACTCCTTCTTGTCGGTGTTGATGGAGCAGAGGATGGGGCCGCAGGGCTTGCCGCAGTCCTCGATGGCCGGGACGTTCAGGTAATGCACCAGCACGATGTCGGGGTTCTGCGGGGACAGCAGGAGGACAGCAGCGTTACCGCAGGCCGTGGCCCTGCCCAGGGCTCCCCAGCCGCCAAGGGTCCCCCACGAGCACCTGCCTCTGTGGGGGGGGCAGTCACTGGTCTTCCTACGGCTGATTCATGGGCCACTAAGGGTCACATGCGAGGTCAGCGGTACCCGGGAGCAGAGGGGCTCCACACCTGCTGCTTCCTCATCCCGGCTTACGGATGCACCCAAAGGTGTCCCCGGCCCCCTGCTTGCTCCCCTGGGACGTGGACTGCCCACTGCCCAGGGGACCCCAATTCTGAAGATCACAGCCCTCTGCCTTGCAGCCCAGGTTTCCCCAGAACCTGACGCCTCTTTGGCGCTTAAGTACGAAGACGGCTCTGTGGGACCAGGGGGGCACCTGGGGCGACCCTGAGCAGCTCTGCTGACACGGCGGACAGCTTCCCCCAGTCCCAGCCCCAGTGTCCCCAGCAACTGGGGGTCTGGGGGCAGCAGTGTCCCCGCAGTGGGCATAGTCTGTGAAACCGCCAAAACCCTGAAGGCCGATGAATCCCGGAGAAATCAAACACCAGCCAGGATGGGAACCAGCCCAAAGGTCCAACAATAGACTGGCGTGGACACGGCTAGAGGCTGGACACAGGCGGGGCGGGGCAGAGTCAGAGGGCGGAGGACAGCACTGATAGTCTGATGGTCTCGCTACTCCCGACACAGAAGGACAGACAGCAGACACCCCGAACCATGGCAAACCCTTGCCGTCACCAAGCAGAGGGGGTAGAGGGGTGACATGGGGTCGGAGGCGGAGGGTCACGCGGGCATTCTGGGGACGGCAGGGCACGGTCACTGTGTACATCGATAGCCAAAGACTCCCACGCAATCCTAATGACCCAAAGTATAATAAACAAAATCTAAACAAACAAATAAAATCGAGCCCAGGGGGCTCACGCAGAGCCGCTGCCTTGCAGGCTGGAGGCTGAGAGTTCCATCTCGGCAGTGGTCCCGGCGGCTCGGTTCTTTGGCATTTCCGGCGCACCACAACCAAGGGAGCACTCCCTGGTCCGGGAGCCCCTGCCTCCTCCTCCAAGAAGCTTTCCTAGAAATCTCTTCCTCCCTGCGAGGGCAGACAGAGTCAACCTAAGTGTCCACGTGCCTGTCCTTTATTTCCTTGAGCACAGGGACTCCGGCAGTGATGGTGCACGGGTGTTCGTGTAGCCACAACCTGGCAGAGGGTACAGCAGCGCTCCAGTCCTGCCCATGGCAGACCCATGTCCCCTGAGGTGTCTGGGGAGGAGGCAGGGAGACTGATGGTTGGCAGTGAGGGACGTGGAGGACATGGAGGGACCCGCGGGGGGTAGACCCGAGTGGGGGACAGACAGAAGGGGTAGGTGGGGGGGTGGGGGGATCAGGCCCTGGGGGGGTAGACCCGGGGTCGGGGCAGACCCTGAGTCAGGGGTAGACCTGGGGGGGGGCAGACCCGGAGTGGGGGGAGGGGGAGCGAGGATCAGACCCTGAGTGGGGTCCCACCCCCCCAGCACCCAGGAAGTCTGACTTCTGGAGTGAGGCCAGGCTCCCCCCTCCCCCCCGGTTCTGAGGTGCAAGGCTCACCCCTGGTCGGGGCTTCAGGTCCCCCAGACACACGGGGTTCTCCCCTGGCCCACGGCTGCTGGGGTGAGGGTGTCAGCGGGGCAGGGATGGGTCCCCCATGCAGAGAGGGGGCTGTGCCATCATGCAGGAAGTGGTTCCGGAGCACGGGACTGTGGGTCTCGGCGGAGCAGGCGCCGGCGCGGGCCACGCACTTGCAGCTTCATCAGCGCTAAGTGGTCGATAAATCAGGGTGGCGCGGGGCCGCTCCTTCCTGGCTCCTCATTAATCTCGTGCCAGTTCTCATGAAAAATGAAGGTGCGGGGCTGGGTGGCGGGGAGGTGTGGGGTCCCCCGGGGAGCACCCCAGTCTCTCCCGGTGCCCCCCTCCCCCCGCCACGGTGGGCGGGGAGAGCCGCCACCAGCCACTCGGAGGCTCCGGTGCCACCTTGGCACCCCCCCTCCCCACCGTGCCTTCCCCGAGTTCTCCGTCTGCTTGTCAGTGGCTGCACGTGGGCACAGGAACACGGTGGGCGAGTGCCGGAGACGGCCGTGCCCACTTGGCAGGGGAGAACAGGGGCTACTGGGGAGGGACTGGGGGCAGCTGGGCACCCTTGGCCTCCTGGCAGGCACAGACCCGCGTCGGGGGCAGGGCTCCCTCTGCTGCGGGGAGGGGCAGGGGATTGGGGCAGGAAGAACCCAGGCAAGTCCGAGTTCCAGCCGGTTCCCTGTCTCCAGGCTTCTGGCGCCCACCAGGGCCCGGGAGTGGAGACCCCAAGCAGAGGAGGACATGGACAAACTGCCCCCCCACCCCAGGGCCAGGGTGCCTGGAGGTCAGAGGTGGGAAGGGGACACCGGACCTGCAGGGCACGCCTTACTGTCACCCGCTTCAACTCTCACCGGGCACCTACCTGGCCCTGCTTGGGAGGGGGCTGGGGGCCAGCAGGGGACTCTGGTGCACCCAGGTTCTCCTGTCCCAGGGCTCCGTGGGTGGGAACCTTTGTAATTTGAGCCAATTGAAAACATGAACTCACAGAAAAAAAAAAAGGCCCTCCCATCGGATCCTGGTACCCCCACCGGGTCCCCCCAGATCTGCCAGAATCCCTGACTCAGGGCCAGGAGGCAGCCCCAAGCAGGGCCGCGTGTGGCCTCAGAGTCCAGGGAGCTGGCCAGATCCTGGGTGGGCACAGGGTGCCCTGGCCGGGCAGTGGGCACCCCCATCTCCACACCGGGATGTGTCTGTTGGGACACCCTCCGTGGTCAGGCAGAGACTGGGGCAGGTGCCAGTCTGGAGCTGAGCATCTAGAGAGCTGGGGGCTGACCCGTTCCTGAAGAGAAATAAGGGAATGGGGGGGTGAGGGCAGGACCAGAAGGCAACTACAACGCTGCCAGGTGTGGGGGCATCAGTTCCCCACCCTGCTTCCTTCCTGGTGCTCCAAGGAGCTAGGGGTGCAGGGCGGTGCCCTTCCATAACTGAGATGGGATCAAGTGCCCTTCTTGCAGGGGGCGCAGAGGCCAGCTGCCCTGGGGGGCTCAGCTGGGCCCCCTTGAAGCCTGCAGCAGGCTGGGACGCCTGGGAGGGAGGTGGGGGCTTCTGGCTGGAAGGTGGGACTCAGGGAGCGCTGAGCACAGCTGTCATGCCCTAACTGTCGGGCTGAGGGTCACTGTGAGGTGCTGCCACCTGGCATGGGTGTCCAGAGCCACACCTGCTGCCCAGGGGCTCAGGGGCTCAGGCTGGCCAGCTCGGTCATCTTCGGCTGGACAGGGCGGTGCGGCAGAAACCACAGATGATACCCAGGTCCCGCCCAGACAAGCTGCCTGCTTTCTAGAAGCTTCTGACCCAGCCCTTCTCCAGTCTGACAGTTGTCACTGTAGAGACTAGCTGCACCCGGACAGCTGCCGGCCAGGACACTCGGGGCCAGCCGTCTGAACGAGCTGGGGGCGGGGGGAAGAGGGCAGAGGTGAGGGCAGATGGCAGGAGGCTCGTCTGGGTCACTCTGCACCCAGTCAGTGGGGACGGGCCACGAGAGGTCAGCGACGGCGACGTGAGTGGCAGGTGGGCCTGACAGGGGGAGGGGTGGGGAGGCCCATACAAAAGCCCAGAATGGAGGGCTGGAGTGATAGCACAGCGGGGAGGGCGTTTGCCTGGCGCGGGGCTGACCCGGGTTCGATTCCCAGCATCCCATATGGTCCCCCAAGTACCGCCAGGAGTGATTCCTGGGTGCAGAGCCAGGAGGAACCCCTGAGCATTGCTGGGTTTGACCCAAAAAGCAAAAAAAAAAAAAGGCCCAGAATAGGGGTGCTGGGCCCGGGGTTCCTGGTTCCCCAGGGCCCTCTCCAGAGAGGCTGAGCCCAGCAAGGGGGGCCAGGCAGGGTCACTGCAGTCCCCGACTTTTGTCCGGGCTGTGGGTGCAGCGGCGAGGGAGGGCCTAGGTGGGGAGGGAGGTGCCCAGAGAGCAGGGGACAGAGTGTGACGCGTCATCTACGTGGACAGGGCGAAGGAGGAAAGGGATGGTCTTCCCACGGCTCCCGAAGACTCAGGGTTGGGGGCTCCTGAGCCCGCAGGGAGGGGTGTCAGCACTGCACGAAAAAGAGCAGAGACGGTGCCCGGGAGCAGAAAGAGACGGTTTGAGACGAGCAGGCTGCAGCACTCGGGAGGAGGTGACATCAGACAGGGCTGGCAGGAGTCAGGGGGGAGGGCACCCTGACCGCGGGTCACGGCGCTCAGCCTGCTGGTGCCTCCGATGCCCTCAACTCTGCCCGGTGTGGGGCTGTGACTTGGGATGGCCAGTCAGGGCCCTGCGAGCTCGAGCTCCGGGATCTGTGAGTCGCAGTCAGAGACACTCAGGGTGATCCCCTGGATTGGGCCAGAACCCCCTGGCAGGGTCAGGGTGACGCCTGCTTCCCTGGTAGACTGGGACTCGCGTGGTGAAGCCCAGGACTTCCGAGGGCGCCGAGGGCCTGCACATGCAGTCTAAGGAGGATGCTGAGCTGGAGGAGGAGAGCAGGGTGCAGAGACAGGTCTGCATGCCCCAGGGAGGTCCCTGGAGCCAGCCGCGCCTGCAGGCCGACCTCCTTGAAGTTTCAGTTATCTGAACCCCTGATATTTCCTCTTACCCTAAAGTTACTGCAGGATGAATGTTTGATCGCACCAACCAGAATGAGCACCAGCTGTCATGCTTTTGTAGAGTGTCCCTTGGAGCACATAACCACCACCACCAAGACCACCGAAGGCGGCACACGCAGCAGCTGCATGCTGGACCCTCACGGCAGCCCTCCACACCAGGATGCAGAAAGAGTGAGAGAGTTTCCAGGGCCGCCTCCTCCGTCCCCAGCCTCTCGGATGCCCACACGGACACAGAGCCCAGGTCTGAGTGGGCGCGGCTGCTCCCCGCCTTGAGCTCTGGGCAGGTCTAGCAGGTA